ATTTCTATGCGCCGAATTTCCACGCGTAGAATTTCCACGCGTGGAATCTTTATGCGCCGAATCTCCACGCGTTGAATTTCCACGCGTCATACTTCCACGCGCTGTATCTCCACGCGTCGTATCTCCACGTGTAGAATTTCCACGCGCTGTACCTCCACGCGCCGTATCTCCACGTTTAGAATTTACACGCGTGGAATTTCTATGCGTAGAATTTCCACGCGTAGAATTTCCACGCGTAGAATTTCCACGCGTAGAATTTCCACGCGTAGAATTTCCACGCGTAGAATTTCCACGCGTAGAATTTCCACGCGTAGAATTTCTATGCGCCGAATTTCCACGCGTAGAATTTCCACGCGTAGAAGTTCCACGCGTAGAATATCCACGCGTGGAATCTCTATGCGCCGAATTTCCACGCGTAGAATTTCCACGCGTAGAATTTCCACGCGTGGAATCTCTATGCGTCGAATTTCCACGCGTAGAATCTCTATGCGCCGAATTCCCACGCGTAGAATTTCCACGCGTCATACTTCCACGCGCTGTATCTCCACGCGTCGTATCTCCACGTGTAGAATTTCCACGCGTGGAATTTCTATGCGCCGAATCTCCCCGCGTAGAATATCCACGCGTGGACTCTCTACGCGCCGCATCTCCACGCGTATAATTTCATGTCCCTAGAATCCACTCTCTCAAATACCCAATATTCCCAGAGTCCACTCTCCCTAAGTCCACATCTCTCCACATCTCCATCTCTCTAGATCTCAATCTCCCTAAAATCTCACATCTCCCAATCCCACATCTTCCAATAACCTGACCTACACTTCAACTCCCAAATATTTCCCTAAACTCCCCATTCTCGCCACTACACTCCATCGCAGAAATTCAAAAGTTCCTATTGCACTCAAAAACATTCTTTTGACGTGAAATCGAGGAGCGTACAAAGGATCAAACACAGAGTAGAATTGGTGTCCCTTTCCGTACGCTTGGCTCGCTTCTGACAGGGAACTCGAGACGAGGGTTGTTCCTAAATCGAGACGTTTCTCTTTTTATTTCTCCCTCTTTCTGTTCGCTGGTCGAAACAACATTGTAACCTGACGCACTGCGGGGCTGTTCGCGCGTTTCGTAGCTAACACGAATAATCTTTGGTGGCCAACCACGGCCGGAGATGATTGATAACTCTGTTGTACGCCGTTATCAGCCGTGGCTTGCACGTTGTTATGTTCACGTCAGAAACGTGACGCTGATAGACGTACGGCTCTCCTTCTATCCTTTGTCTCTCGTCCTCTTCCCGTGCGTTCCGTTTCGTATCTTCACGTTCGACGTGCTTCCAAGCGACCTGTTGCCGTTAATTCGAACTTACACGCCGCCGTGTTAACCACGAATCTTGCTTTCCGGTTCGATGTTCTTTCTCTGCGCCTTTCTCTAATTCGTCATCCTCGTGTCAACTTAATCTTGCGCGCGGATAGACAGGAAAACAATCGATGTCTTTTTTTTGTGGATTATTTACTGAAACAATCCTAGCAAGATTAATAGGGCAATTAGTAGATAAATTGACCCTGAGAGATACATGAACTTATTTATTTTATAGAACTATTTCGATAAAAGCAAGTCAATGATTTATGTAGACATAACAATCGCGAACGAGACAATAGCAACTGTAATTGAAACATAATACGGTAATGAACACCGGTGTAAAGAAGTCCCGTATCAAAGTACATGACACCGACCATCAAAGTGTTAAAAGATCACCAAGCGGAATCTATCATGGAACCACAGACTGCCAGCAGCGTTGGAGTTAATAGAATTCAAATTAACCACGCTAACTGCTTCATGATTAATCGCATCTCGATCGGGCAGCGTGTGTCATTTATCAAAACTCCGTTCGAACATATCCTTCGGGAGTGCTCGAAAAAACGAGGCCAAGGTTCGAACAAAGAACCAACAGCTCGACGAACAACGGAGCACGATTCTTAGCGTCGTTCGGTCAGTTCTCAGTCACGAACCAATGGCTATGGTGGTGATTTCTCAGGGTCGAGCGCCAGCAATGGATTACAAGCGCCACTCTTTTCCTCTCGAACGAACCCTTTCGTGTTCTCTCTGTCGCGAACAATCGGTACATCCAGACCGGTTGAAAAGCGCCTGCATTTCTGCACGAAGCGAGAAATACAATCGAGAACCGGGTGCCTTCGGTTCTGCCTTCGTAACTCGGCTACTTGCGACTTTCGTATAAACAAACCGAGTTTACTTGCCTTTTCATTCACCACTTTTATGTTTACGTTTCATTCAGTGGGTGCATTTTTGGGGTTGTGATGAGATTTGGGGAGGTGGGGATTTGAGGGTTGGGGGATTGGGGGATGTGAGGGTATGAAGATTTGGAGAGGTAGAGGGTTGGAGAGGTGGAGAGGTGGAGAGTTGGAGAGTTGGAGAGTCGGAGGGTTGGAGAGTTGGAGAGTTGGGAATTTGGAGAGTTGGAAATTTGGAGAGTTGGAAATTTGGAGAGTTGGAAATTTGGAGAGTTGGAAATTTGGAGAGTTGGAAATTTGGAGAGTTGGAAATTTGGAGAGTTGGGGATTTGGAGAGTTGGAAATTTGGAGAATTGGGGATTTGGAGAGTTGGGGATTTGGAGAGTTGGAAATTTGGAGAATTGGGGATTTGGAGAGTTGGGGAGTTGGAGAGTTGGAAATTTGGAGAATTGGGGACTTGGAGAGTTGGGGGGGATTTGGAGAGTTGGGGAGTTGGAGAGTTGGGAATTTGGAGAGTTGGGGATTTGGAGAGTTGGGGAGTTGGAGAGTTGGGAATTTGGAGAGTTGGGGATTTGGAGAGTTGGGGAGTTGGAGAGTTGGGAATTTGGAGAGTTGGGGATTTGGAGAGTTGGAAATTTGGAGAATTGGGGATCTAGAGAGTTGGAAATTTGGAGAGTTGGAAATTTGGAGAGTTGGAGATTTGGAGAGTTGGGGATTTGGAGAGTTGGAAATTTGGAGAGTTGGAAATTTGAAGAGTTGGAAATTTGGAGAGTTGGAAAGTTGAAGAGTTGGAAATTTGTAGAGTTGGAAATTTGGAGAGTTGGAAAGTTGAAGAGTTGGAAATTTGTAGAGTTGGAAATTTGGAGAGTTGGAAAGTTGAAGAGTTGGAAATTTGTAGAGTTGGAAATTTGGAGAGTTGGAAAGTTGAAGAGTTGGAAATTTGTAGAGTTGGAAATTTGGAGAGTTGGAAAGTTGAAGAGTTGGAAATTTGTAGAGTTGGAAATTTGGAGAGTTGGAAAGTTGAAGAGTTGGAAATTTGTAGAGTTGGAAATTTGGAGAGTTGGAAAGTTGAAGAGTTGGAAATTTGTAGAGTTGGAAATTTGGAGAGTTGGAAAGTTGGAGAGTTGGAAATTTGAAGAGTTGGAAATTTGGAGAGTTGGAAAGTTGAAGAGTTGGAAATTTGTAGAGTTGGAAATTTGGAGAGTTGGAAATTTGAAGAGTTGGAAATTTGGAGAGTTGGAAATTTAGAAAGCATAAAGTCCTCAAATGTCATCACCCTCCATTCGCAACTCCTCATCACATCACCCCCTCAATCCCTAAACCTAACACAAAGAACATCAAAAACCTACATAACATCTTCCTAATGCAATGAATTCTAAAACTAGAAATAGTTAATGGTCAATATCTAGTCCCCAGAAATCACCAATTAACGAACATCCAGCCCGCCACGTCAAAGGATTTCTCTCTTTTCCCCATCCAGCACTAGTACCCCGTTCTAAGAGATACACAGATAAAAGATAAATTACATCGCTTCTTCTATTTACAATCCGGCGACAGTAAAGTTGAGCATGAGTTCACTCGTTCTGCGGGAAACGCAGGTGATTAAGACTCTGAATTAAGAATCAAGCAGGAACATTTCATTAAAGTATTAAGATATCTCGGCGTATCAGAAGCTAATGAGCACAACGAACGAAGGACTTGTCACCACATCGGCACGAAAGTACTTTGCGAACTGTGAGAACCATGAAATGAACGATCTGGAAACTGGTTAAATGATCGTGTTCGGTAGCTGATTCGGAGAAAATCGAGTCGTGAAATGATTGCTCGAATAGGACAACTTCGATGCGAAAAACGATAGTTGAATGTTGAGAATGTAGAGGAGGTAACGTTAGGAGAATATAGGAAATTCTGAATGTTAATTCTTTATCTTTTACTAATTTTAATTTAAGATGTTCCTATTTCTCTTCGAGAACGAAGAGAAAGTTTGGGTAGGTGTGCCGCGAAAATAATAGCAAAGATCATGTAATAAAGTTGCGGACATCCAGCTGAGCGGAAAATGGACGCGGTGAACGCAATCGTGGTCCAATTACGTGGCCCCTTCATTAAGGCGCGAACCCCCATGAGCTTATTTATTCGATACCGTTATACCAAACGAATCAAAAATTGCCGTCCGAGAAATTTGTTTGCCATGTTCAATAGACATCCAATTAATCTGACTAATTGCGAGATATCGTTTCCCATTTTCAGAGTAAATCGATTAATACCTGTCATCGCTGCTCGACTTTCTCTACTATAATTTCTATACTTGTTAACTATGACTAATCGTACCATTGTATATTCAATATGTATAACAAAAAATTATTCAAAAGTTTTTGAATATACAGCACTATTCAAAATTTTTTATAATTTTTTAAAGAGTGTACTTGCAACATAAAAACATATTACAAAGAATGTTTACGGTAAATGGTTTCGTTAATGACACCTAAACTCCACACAGAAAATCACAAGAAAATAGCAGAAATACGATCTAAATCTAGCAAGAAAGAACAAAGGAATTTCATGCAAAAGAAAAACAATCAAATATCCATAGTATCGCTGTGTAACGAGACCACTAACCTTCATAGTACATCTTTTTATTCCGTGTTCTTTCAGAATCACCGCAAAAAAAAGACCAACCTGTTACGGTACGGTGATCCGCTAAAAACAGCGTCAAGTGTTTACAGCAGCGGTTTAATCACTGTCTTTTGGTTTATTTTTCAGAAGCGCCTGGAGAACTTGGATGGGTGCTCACTCTGGTGATTGTTTCCCTAGTGTCAGCTGGGATCGGGGCGGTGGTCATGGTCACCCTCCTTCACTGTCGGAGGTTAGTATGATTCTTGGAAAATTATAGAAAAATTAAGGAAAGCGAATTGTGGGAATTTTGGGGTTTGGGGAATTAGGAATTCGGGAATTGGGGATTGGGGGATTGGGAGTTTGGGGATTTGGGGATTTGGGGATTGGGGGATTTGGAATTAGGGATTGGGAGATTGGGAGTTTGGGGATTTGGAGATTTGAGGATTTAGGGATTTGGGGATTTGGGGATTTGGGAGATTGGGAGATTGGGAGTTTGGGGATTTGAGAATTTGAGGATTTGGAGATTTAGGGATTTGGGGATTGGGGGATAGGGAGTTTGGGGATTTGGGAATTTGAGGATTTGGAGATTTAGGGATTTGGGAATTTGGGGATTGGGGGATAGGGAGTTTGGGGATTTGGGAATTTGAGGATTTGGGAATTGGGGGATTTGGGAATTTGAGGATTTGGAGATTTAGGGATTTGGGGATTTGTGACGGTGGACATTTGGTAACTTGGAATTTAAATTTAGGGTTTGTAGGCTGGGGAATTTGGGGATTTGAAGTTCAAGAGATTTGAGAATTTGGGACTTGAAAATTTGGGCACTTGAGGAGCTGCAAATTTGCTAATTTGGTATCTTGAGGTTTGTGGATTAAGGAATTTGGAAATTTGAGTATTTGGGAATTTGTGAATTTGATCATTTAGGGTTTGTGAATTGGAGTTTTTGAGGACTTAGAGTTCAAGAGATTTGAGAATTTGAAGACTTAAACATTTGGCCATTTAAGGATTTGCAAATTTGCTAATTTGGGATCTTCAGGTTTGTAGCTCGAGAATTTATGAATTTGTGAATTTGTTCACATAGAGTTTATAGTTATAGGTGTTCAGGATTTAAGAATATGGTGTTTAGGTATTTGACAATTTGGACACTTAGAAATTTATGAATATAAAAAATTGTAAATCTGGTCGTTTAAAAACTGAGAGTTTTTGCGGATTTAGTTTGTAGATACAAAGATTAGGAACTGTGAACGTGTGTTCACATCGAAACATGAGCTATCAATACAAGTCATAGTATCGGTAGATCTGTAACTGTTCTCCGGATCAACGTAATTCATCGTTTTATCAGTAAATCGTAGAAAAGTTGTTCTCAGCTATCATTGAACTTGAATTCAATCAGACTTCCTGATAGGGGATTTATCCGGTCGATCGCGGAATTTCGAATCGAAATACGAGAGCGTAAACACCTGCTCGATCGGTTCCCGTGAGATTGCCTTCGAAATCCATACAAAGAGGCAGAAGATCAGCGGTGCATCTCGATACGGATCGGCGATCAGGTAGATTCGTGGAATGATCGCGGTTTATAAGCTGGCTGGCAGCAGCCGATCGATTTCCCTTAAATTACCACCTACCCGCAATGCATCAAAATCGAAAGGGAACCGAACCGTAATAAAGCAGGGTGAACCGGTTACTAACTAGATCGCTTCGATTTGGATTCGCCGCGTGTCAGGCAAAAACAATCGGGAGGAAACAATGAAAAAAGGTGCGGACACTCGTAAACGCAGCTGCCCCATTTCGTTACGCCCTGATCAGCAACGGGGAATCTTTATTGCGGGCCACTTCCTCTGATTCTTGAAAAAAGATACTACTTCCGAGATTAACTTTTATACTCTAATTGCTTATTAATAAATATGTATATTCTTAATTCGCACTTTTATTCAGAGATCGCGATTTTTACCGTTCTGGTTTGTAATTGAAAGATTATCTTTGAAGTACTGCACTGCTGTATCAAATTAATTGTTTCAAAAGATAGATAATCTAATATGATTTTATAACATGAAAGTATTACTGTTCATTATTTACTCGAGATATGTCATGGAAAGTATGCATCATTGTGTATATACAGTATTTTCATTCCATCATGTCTTCCAAAATTGCAAGTCTATGCAATCTGTATCTTCAGATTTACAATTTCTGTGCTTGAAATTTTTAATAAAATCGTGCTTTCCTTTTGTGTTGCAGATTGAAGAGTACCGGTGGGAGAGGTAAGATCAGTTTCACGGATTACAATAAAATGCACGTTTTTACGATGAGTCTGGCAGGTATTTTGAGCTGTACTTATTAATAGAGATAATAGGATTACTTGTAAGCTGCTTATCGAGTTCGCGGTTAAGTCCACTTTGGATTCTTGTCAGTACACTTATCTCTTTATCTCCATAATATAATAAATTATTACCGTGACGATGTTTTTGTTGGAACTGGAATTAGTCACCATTCGCCGCGTTAATCACGTATAATTACACGGATTCCTTTTCATTTTCGTTTTAACATAACACTCTTGCTCACAGCCGTTCTTTAATGATAATAGAATTTTAAATTGCCATATAGGCAGTAATTACCCGTACCGGTCATAGAAAATTGGTACAATAGGTAGACGTAGCAATCGGAACGCGTTACGACCCTAATCACAGCCGCGATTATGACGAAGCTCTGACAGATCGTATGATTTGCAATTATCCTAGATCCCCTACAGAGATATCGATTTACGATCCTACCTATTCGATTCCTTTATCCGTTGCTAAAATATGATATCCACCTTTTAATCGTTCCTCATTCAACCCCTCTTTACGAGTATTCTTTGGAACCTGTATTCAACAACCTCGCCACGTGTGCCGTCACCATTATGCCTAAGTTTTATGAAAAACATGCCGTGTCGTAGTAATCAGAGATTAGGGCATAGATCACATAGGGAAATTACCTAGATAGACATGTAAAAGCTACATTCATGCATTTATGGAGGAAACCCAGTTAGATCCGACCCTTAAGAGATTTCATTCTAAGAAGATTCTAAGTCGTATTAAAGGAGAGGAAGATGGAAGGCGAACTAGGAAGATGAAGTCCTATGAGGTTCCAGGGTGAGATTGAACGTAGATGAAACCTAGACAGGGTGAAACATAGAACCTCTACCTTCGCACCTTAACCACGTTAGTTTTTTAAGTAGAATATATGGTGGAAGGGTTTCGAGCTCATCCCTACAGAATATTTCTGTCTGGCAAACGCACTGATCGTTCAACCGCAATTCTCGTTTTCTCGACACAATGTGCTAACCTTGAGAGGCGCATCCGGATGTCTTACGTGGACATCAGCAGCTTGTCCGTCTGATCAAAGCTGAAGAGGAGAAAGACACACGGGCCTCACACAGTCTGGCGACGTGGAGCGTCGATTGGTGCAAACGAGAAGCATAGTAGAGCCGTGGCGTCGAGTGTCAGCGTCGATTGGAGTTTAATTAGTTCGCATAATGAAAGCCGTTCACGGCGGTATATTCAGCTCGTGCACACGTTAAAGGGTAAAGCGACTCGGCTCGACTCGACGCGACACGACGCGACGTACGGGCGACATAAAGGACAGTGAAACGCGTCTAATTAACTTTCTGATTTAAAATCACCCGCGGCACGATACGATCAACGTGGCTGGGACCAGAGAGAACGAAGAAAGGAGGAGGATCGAGGTTGAGAACGAGGGCAGATAGAAGAAGAGGAGAGCAGAGAGGGGCAAACCTTACTGCCCGGCTGGCTGCCGGCCTGGGTATACAAGGGTCACTCGAATTAATTATCCGACACTCGTTTTACCGAACCTCCCTGAACTCCGTCGTCGATCCACGATTCGACTTAAGCGGCCTTCACACCGAAACTTCGTGATCGATTCTATTCGGTTACGCTTACTATAATTGGACGCCGATCATTATGGAACACTCCGTACGACTAATTGGAACGAATCGACACACAAGGTTAATTAAGCTAAACAATCGACGACACTGTCCGGAAAAATCTAGCCTATACTTAAAAATCGTTTACGTGTTTGGATAACAGGAACCGTTGCGCAATGTTCGTCATTAAAAACTCGTGAACACACCTTTCACGAAATTCTAAATTATATATTGTGTCACGTGTACAGCTGTGGACAGAAATTTGGGATTAGAAGGATGTCCGAATATGGCGATGAAAAGATGATGTAGATCATTTTCGATAATTAATGATGCTATGGAAAATTATTGAAAATGGCGATTTAACGAGTGAATATATGAAACTTCTTTCGAATGAAAGTTTTACTCTTGTAATCAGATTTGTATCCACTTTGAAGTCCAAGATATCGTTGAACGTTAACAAATATTTTAACACAAAGGTGTCTTAAACTTCTGTCCACTACTGTACTTACGTCCTATTAAAGTAGTAGTTACCTACTACTTTATTTCTGATCCTCAACAAGAGTGGACGTCCCAACCTGCCATTTCCTCTCTCCCCTATTAATTACGTGAAAACCGGGGTGATTAACGTCGCACGACATCCTGTTAGACCATTTATCCCGGGTTCGTGTAAACTTGTCAAATGGCGAAATTACAGCTGTACACGTACACGAATGTAATTGGAATTCTGGCACAGTTATCCTGCAGTAAACGCGCGTTAATGTTGCTGGTGCAATTTCATATCGTTGAGAGGGGAGGAAAAAAAGGAATTAATGAAACATCGTTGAAACGTACAACCGTGCGTAAGAATTGCCACGAATGCCAACGAACAAGAGAGGCGTTAATGGACGGCTGAAAGGGGCTGGTTGCGCAAAAAAAAGACGAGATCCGTACACGTTAGGTTCCCGGCACGATCGACGGAACACAATGGCGATTCGAGAGCCGGGTAGAATAGGTGAATCGAATCCGTTAATCGGCTTATCGCGCGTTTCTTCGCTCGATACGCCGAATCGGCCTCTGCTCCCTCGAAAGCTCCACGACAAGGATCTGGTGTTCGTTGAAAGGGTATTCAGACTAACATTAACCCTTTTCGATACCGAGGGCGCGTACCTACCTTCTTCAGAGACGAATAGTCGTTTTAGAGTGAATACGGTATTTATACTCGCGACGTTAATTTTGCAGATCAGAAACTCATTACGATTAATCCTTTCGCTGCTAAAGTCGTATACACCCTTCACATGTACACAGAACATATTTATGGACTTACGAGTTTATATTTCTTTTTCACCATCGTGTATCGAATATCAACTAAGATTTCAAATACCAAGAAAATCATGAAAATTCAACTCGACAAACACATTCCAGCGTTTAAGTCAGAAGTTCTTTCATCACTAATATCGCCTTTCGCGTCAATGTTTCCAACACGATGACGCGCTAGAAAGAATCACGATCGAGTTGCAGCTAACCGGTCGAAAGAATATCAGCCAGAATGAATCTGGACCCTAAAGGATCACGCACGGTTGCCAAGAAATAGAATCCTGGTAGGTGTTCGAATCTACTAGATCGTGAGGAGAACACTTGCCTTCCCGCTGTCACGACACGCCACGATTTTCACGCGTCCCGTTTGCCGGGCTATCGCATCCGTCAACCACTTAATATTCGAACCATCCAATCCGGTAAATCACGCGGGTTAACGCGTCCGTCGAACAACAATCAGAAGCGACAGCCTGGAAAAAATACGGATCCGATTACCTCACCTAGTGGATGGGAACTATGGTGTAATCATTGTGGAAACGGAGCGTACACTCCACTGCAGCGTAGGCATCGCTTGGATAATCGGGAGTGCAGGAGAGAACTTGGGAGATGTAATATGTTGACTATATTTGAACATATTACTCCCAAATTTCCAAGTACTATAACCTAAGTGTTATAACTTAACAAACAACGAGATCTCCTTACTCCACCACTTATGCTGAGAAGTGCACCATGCCTGTGAGTGTACAGCGCATTGCAGCTTTCTGATTCCCGATTATACGGTCGACAATGTGGCAGAAAGAGAGCCTAAGAATGTTCATGACAGATCGATGTTCAATTATAAAGGGAGAACTGGCCCTCGAACGATGTAACAAACCGGATAAATCGGCACCGCCTTATTTACGATAGCAATAAACTGCTTCACGCCTGCCATGGAACGCTAAATCGTCGTACGTCGATGCGTTCACCGTCTGAATGCCGGGGAGGACTGCTACGTCGGACGATAAATAACGCGATTACAGCTTGACGTAATCGATTGCACTCGGATTTCTAGCCACTCGAGCGCAAATGAAGTCGCGCGACCATCCTTTCCAATGATGAAGCACCGCGTTCCACGAGCGGCACGTAATGAATGGAAGGTTGATTAGGGTCGCGGAACAGAGTGTCCACGGCAATTGAAATCTTTGTAACGTCGCGGAGCTGTGGGTAATTGGCCCCCTATCCGCCTTGGATTCGCGTGGCTTTGATCGAACGGCTAGGAACAGTTCTTCGTCGGATAATGAAGGACAAATTTCTTCGATGACGCATGTCTTGTAGCAGAAAAGTCAGGATAGTGACTAACAACTATAACCTTCTGCCATGTAGGAGGTATTCGAGGAATAAGTTGAAATCGTACAACCATCTCGATGTAAACTACGGACTGATACTAACCTAACCCGATAAACTTGAGATTGAATTCCGATCGTGAATAATCCGATCGTACATCTTCGCAGGATTTTGTACGTGGCTGTATTTGAAATATTTGCAGTTCGACGGCCGAGAAACGCACAAAACATTCTCGATTACCTCATACATTAAAAGACTTCGCGTGAACGTCCGCAGGGTTCGCGTCTCTCCATTACCAGGCAATCTCGTGGTCGTTGCATAGATCCTAATTATGCAAATGACGGTGTAACGGCTCGTTATAAATATCCACGAACCGTACAGGACGGAATTAAATTTCTGCTCGAGTCCGTCACCCTGCTTCTCATTCTGCTACGTTAGAGCGCATCAGCGATTATCCCGGTGAGTTTCTCAGAAGAGGAGGAAGAAGAGGAAGAAAATAGCGTTTAGACGAGACACGAAGAGGAAAGAGATTATACCCGTTGCACGCGTTGCTTTCTGTCGCTGGTGTAAGGCCAGCGATAAACGAAAACCAGTCTCTCTCGCTCGTCGCTGGCAAGTGACAGCCGCCAAGAATCGTCCAGGACGACGAAAAGCGCCGATCACCGGACAACGAGGAGCCTCGTACGTGCGTAGGTTATACGGCACGCCGACGAGGATTCCCATAATCTCGTTTTTTCTCATGCTTACTTCGCCACGAGGCGGCATCTCTGATCTATGAATTCCGAATTCCTTTTTTTCTTACTCGTATCCCCTTCTCGCCCCTTTTTTCTTTCTCGATTTCTTCATCCGCCCCACTCGATCTCTTACCATCCACCCCATACACGGCCGCGTTTCTATGAGGGTCGCATGACAGCGCGATGACGGGCGCACAATGAGGCCATACAGAAAACTGCCGCTTTTTTTTTTCTTCGGACTCATGTCATAATGATTCGTGGTTCCTGCGTACCTACGTTACGCGTGTGTAATATATCTATGACCCGTACGTGTACCTATATACACGATCGTGTAACGTAACAGGATTCTGTCCGAACGATCACCTGGCACTTCACGAGCTTCGTATACCGAGCTTCGACCCTTCTCGACTGAAACTCGAGCACGACTTTCGCGTATCGATCCTTACCAACGAATTTTCCAGGACAACGAACCTCACGTGGGACACGAACCTTTGTTTCTTGTTCCAGCGAGCTGCTGCAGCGTCGGCGTCGAGGACTCGAACGCTCAGGAAGCCGGTGCCACAGCTGGTGGAGGCGGGTCTGGCGGTGGCGTGGCCGTTATACCGGATCGACCACCCTTAGAACTCGATAAGCTACCGCCTTATCACGACGTTGCTCCTACTCCTGGTATGTCTAATTGATAATTAACTTACGAGGAACATTACCCAAGTGATACTCTTCTAGGATGAAATATTTATGTATCAATTGAAATTAAAGGATCACTTGCGTAGTTGTTCTTGGTAGCGAAACAGTTGACGACCATTTTGCCCGCGATAAGCATAAGATCAAAAATTTAAGTTGGTATCGGTAGCTGTGCTACTCGAATAACTTCAGCAGTCAAATACTTGAATACCTTGATACTCACAAGGCAACGACCTTCGAGACATTGCAACTGACCAAATTCTCAAATTTCCATGTCCTCAGATTCCTAAATTCCCAAACGCCTATAAAGATGTTGAACCAATGTCTCGAAGATCGAGTGTCCTTGTAACAAGTATCCAAATGTTCGAGTAATTGACACCGAGTTATTCGGGTATTTCGAGTAGTTACCTTTTGAGAATCGTGAAAAATTTGTTAGGAAATTGGTTGAAAAAAATGGAACGTAATTCCAATTTTCCTGGTTGGATTTGATTGAAGGGCACAATGTGTGGTCGTGGTTAGGCTCGCGACGTGGCGGTGGTACGCCAGGAGTCGTCACGACGCCTCTTTCTCTTCCGCAACATAGACGGGCGATGAATCTTCCAGTGGAGAACCACTACACCCACATGCAAACGGACGAAGCGCTGTACGCAGAACTGGACTCTCAGGCCGCGAGCTACGCTAGCGATCTGCAGCTACAAATGAGAGGAAGCTCGACATACGGTACAACTTCCGGCGGGCAGGACGACGAGTACCACGAGTTGGACGCTGCGAGGTTACATCGTCATTACGGCGGAGGCAACGGGGACGGATCTCTCCGAGGGGATACGCTTCGAACCCGCCATAGTAAAAGGTAAGTAAATTAATCCTCGTAATTAAGCTTTTATTTGTCGTCTCGATCTCTGAAATATTACAATTTAGTAATTTCAATCGATCAACCGTAATTGTACGGTTTCTTTCTCGGGTTCGAAATGATACCCTCTAACGTGATCACGTAACGATAATAGCACAGGCTCTGATCTTATTACTTTTGACCATAATGTCTGCGAAGGAAACATTATTAATTCCTTTCATAAGCAATTAAACGTAAATATTTGAACGAAAAGAGAGTATCGTATACATCAGTGTTTATGGGCTTGAACAACCGGTTTAGCGGATACATATCGAACATGGAAAAACTACATTGCTATATAGAGTGTTCCTTCTGACGATGATGATTTGTTAGATCCTTCCAAAACACTTCATACTTGCACCATTTCTACTTGCACAAATGACACATCTTAATTGAAAAATAATCTCAACTGAACAGTCATTCGTAACCAAAATATTATAGCCCTTCGAAAAATCCTGAATATCGAACACCCGGTAGATTCCGTATCCTTCATCAAATCTCGTATAACCTATAAATTTCTATAACCATATTCTAAATAAGAGCAAGAAAGATGCGATCGGTCAATTTCATAGACTAGAAAATAAAGCAGACAGACGATCAACGGTTTATCGTAAACGCTAATCGATTCCTGGACGTTGGGTAACATCGTAATCCGATGTTTTCAGGTTACAAGAACCGGATTACGAGATGTACGAGAACGGGCCGTCGACTCCGGTGCCGCCGGGTCAGATACAACATCATCATCACCACCATCACCACCACAATCATCACCATCATCATCCGGAGTTACGGATCGGTAGCAGGAACGGTGAACATCCGTCGTATCAGAACACGGCGTACACCGGAAGCGACGCTGAACCGGATGGTCCGACGTTGAGCAGCGCACCCAGCAGCGCTTACTATAGTGACCTTAGCTCCAATTCCACGAACCAGCAGATGCCTGCAGCCGCTTCGGCGACCAACACGAACCTTCATCTAAACTCTCAGGGTCTGGAGAGTTCGCAGTATCGATTGGCGGCGATTAACGAAAGTTCAGTGCCTTCGGACTACATCTAAACGTTCAAACTGGTGAAGTGAGGATTAGTCTGTTCGAATGTTCCTTTAAGTTGTGACGAGGTGTTACTGGAAAGTGCGAATGTTGGTTGTGAATCGTTTGGAAGTGGAGCTTTCGATGGTGCTCTATTTATTTTTCTACGAAGACTTGGAAGACTTTAATGATGTGGACTGAGGTAGTTTGAACGAAGATGAAATGATGGAAGTTCATGGGTGACTGTAGACAAAAATTTAATTTAATCGAAAACTATTGAGTCTGATTGACGAAAGTTCTGTTCTAATTCACTGTGGCTATCGACGTGTTAAGAAATAGCAGACGAATTGCAGGAATTTCTTTGAGGAAGCCAGTGCCATAATTTTCAATTTGCAGTTCTCACATTTCGAATAGACTCAGAAATTGATACTTATCAAACATGCGAATGGTGCAGTTACAGCGAAAGCGACTTCCGTCGAATTAGCATTCCGAATAAACGAACAATAAATTTCTACGAGATTAATTACCCGGCAGGAAACGCTATCACCGTAACCGCAACATAACTTTCGTACAAATTAATCAAGCTCGATGAAACAATTAATTGTTACGTTACGCAAGGAAACGTGCAGCTTGTAACGCGACTTCTGAACAAATCAGAAGCCACATTTGCAAACTGTGAACCGTGAACGAACGTCATTATTGTTCTGCTCTCAGGGAATGGCCGTCCATAGTGAATTAGTCTTCCGGTTTATTAGTACGAATGTATCTCACGTGTACGTAACTCGTGTTATTCTGATCTGATGCAATAGTGCGACTAGGAACAATCGAGCGTTATTTCGTGCCTTAATAGAGCTCACTCGCGAATGCGAGATCGGAGAATCGCAGAGGTAACGAAAACGAGTTTCATAACGAGATCGAGTGCAATGAAGTCGTTTCGAGGAACAAGTGTTTCGTAATTTGACGTTTCAAGACTTTCAATAAGCACCTTTGGTAACTCTACCCTCGTATTTCGAGCGAAATGACTCAAGATCATGCTTCAACTTTTTAGCTGAAAATAATTTCTGGAAGTCTTCTAAATTCCTAATGCAAATTTTTCAATTTCAATACTTCAGATTCATAAACTTTTAATGTTTCAAATTTATAAATATTCAATGTTTCGAATATCTGAATGTGAATATCTGAATCTTAATTCTCGATTTGCAAATTAAAAAGACTTCGATAAACGTAACACGGTGCACAGTACTATATTAGCGTTAGTGAGAAGCTCGTTTCGCGATATCGTGTGAAAGTATTCGTCAGTGAATCGTTAAACAGGATTCCCGGCCTTCGTCAAGCTCAATCGTTTATCTTCGACCCTCGTTCACCGCTGGAATTAATTCGTTTCACCCGATTCGGCAGGACTCGTTTAATCGTCGCCGTCGTGTTCTCTTAATTACCTTCCCTTCGGACAGTCCCGATTGTTCCTTCGACAGAACACGAACTGGAAGAGACATTCTACCTTGGGATTCTCCGCAGAGTCCGCTTTTACGTCTTTCATTTGTGTCTCACCTGCGCCAGCCTGTCCACGCGCAATCACTGCACACCTTCCCGACTCGTAGCCACTCTTTACCGCCCTGGCTGATACAAATTCACCTGTTACACATTGACTTTGATATTTTAACTGAAACTCTCACATTGCAAAATTTTGTCAGAAACTCATGAACCCTTTGCGCGAGGTGACTCTCAGTCACCATTTTATTTAATACAATAATTTGAAACAAGCATTTTTTAACTGACTCTTTAATATGACACGTGTGATGTATAGTGAAAGAATAATGGAAATTATTAGTAGAAAAATAACCTCAAAAGAATTCATTTAACTTTTTAACTAAGTTTTAAAGTTGTTTGTAAACAGTCAAATAATCTTCGAGTGCAAAGGGTTAAAAATTTAAGAATTTTATAATGTTCAAAGTTATAAATTTCTGAACCTCGCTTTCCCAAAATGTTCAAACCTCAACATCGCTAAAGCTGAACTACAAATCTCCAAATTGTTATGTCGGTGAATTTGAAAATCTATCAAGCAAACATCAACGAATGACAAGGATATTTTCTCCTATATTGCTATTTTCTTAAGAGAGAAATGTCTCGAGTGTACACAATGGTTTCCTGGCGAGTATCCCTCAGTATCGAAAGGGTTAATCGTTTCCGTATCGCGATAAATCGCCGTAAATTGCACGGGGTAACCGTGAGCTCATAAATTACCGCGGCCCTCGATGGCGGAGTACAAAGAATCGCAATTGACCAAAAACCGTTTCGCGGCCCAGAATCATTCACAGCTTCTCCTCTCGTTTATACGCACGCACACGCGTGCAGGAAACACGGAGTGTGCAACAACAGATGCAACAATGCACTCTCTCGCGGGCACGGAATAATTAATTGCACTCCCTCGCGACCACAATGGCGGTAGGGAGAGATGGCCAGCTCGGTACCGGCGCATTATTTAGTCGAAAAAAATCCCACGAACGCACGGTGCGGCACCGTTGGATGGGTAACTCTTATCGTGGTCATGTTACGCGAACGGGAACGTATTATGGAATTCGTTGGTATCCGAGCTTAATTGAGGCCCACCTTCGTCTACCGGCATCTTCCGCATTTGTGTGAGCGCCTCGTAATCGGCCTCGTAGCTGAACGGGGAAGTTTATGCGAAGGCGTAACGTCGTAGAGTCTTGAAAGTAACAGTAAATATTTTGCTGCGTTCGCTGGGTTCATTTTGCACAAACAATATATTTCATCACTCTATACATTAAATATAGGAATACATTAAACTGTCACAATAAAATAATTATTTTTGTTAAAGAATTTGAAAATTTTTTAAGCAGAAAAATTTGACTAGAAATGAAAGATAATTTTCCCCGTACAAATTCAATTAAATTTTGTGCAAATATATCTGCACCCAGCTTAACAGGTTCCGCCATAAAAATGGCTGTCGATGAATACATGCCAAGGAATGTTTCAATAACAACGAGCGTTATTTTCCTGATACATACCTTTGGAAATTCAAGAAATCTCCGAATGGCTCCTTCAAAGCACCGTTCTCAAGACGCATCCTCATTCATCGAGCAAGTGCAACGGAATCGCCACTGCGGAGGTATGGGAATCCACTTTGCTGGAATCCCGCAAAATTCTCGACCCTCGAGTTGTTTCGGTAAACCTCCCAAGATCGTGTCTAATATACAAATCCATTAATAGTATCGAGATGATTCGGATGTGCCATACCATCGGGATTCTAACCCCTTGATCTTTGTACAATTTAGCTTATCCATAGATGAAACTTGTTTTACCCGGTGAAAATCATATGCGGATCGAAATTTTATTCTGTAGACAACTATGTTTCGCAATCATGGAAATATTTTAGAATGTACTTCATTAGAAATTGTAAAAGGATGAACTTATTTTGTTGTCGTTAAGTTTAGGTTCTGTCTAGTTCAAAAGACTTCTTAAATTCGTTCTAACGGAGAATCATCCCGATAGAATTAAGAGGTTAAGAGATAACGATTTGTAAGAGGTCCGATGAAACACTCTGTATAAGTTGTGCAGCGATGCAAGGATGCGTCCGAAGGGTAGGGCTGTAAGAAAACGTTAGGACCCGCCCTGGCTGAGCACACACCACCTTCGTTCCTGCTACGGGATATATAAATTATACATGTAAATATACGGGCGGCCAGGACCGAGAAAGATCGAACCGTGAGATATCGAGATATGTGTTGGCGACCCGCACACCTCGCCGCTCCTTTCTTACCTTCTTCTTGTGCTCTTCGTTCTCTCCGTTGCCGCGTTACGCCAGCTCGCACGCATAAACTCACGCATCTACGTGCCTATGGCGAATACCTTTGTCGCCGATGCCACCGAAACGTACACGCATACCGTTCCCGCTAATTCCTATGCATTTTTCGAATTACCGCTGAAATCGAGACAGTCTTACGTTACTCACTGTCCACCGGAAAAATGCTACTGGAATGAATATTGTACTTAACACGGTTTCTGTTTGACGGCGGGGTAAATATCCGCAGAATGTTCGGCTAAGTGCACGCGAGGAAGAACTAAAGTGATTTTTTGTTAAAAAGGGAAAAATGACAGTGTATCTCCTGTTTTAATTGCAAATTTCATTTTCGAAACGCAAAGTAGAGGTGTCAAAGATATTGCCAGAAAAATGTGGAAATAGATAGGGAAATTATGTTATGGACTGTTCGAACATGCGTACTGACGTAAGTACGGTTAGTTATGTTGAAATGCACTGCAAAAAACTGATACCTATTAAATGCATCATTGCGAAACGACAGGAAACCTGCGATTTATCTTAGAAACTTCGATCGCGACATGTACTTGATAATACGTATCAACGAGAGGCCCTGAGCTATTTTCATAATCGAAAAGAAAATGTATCGAGATTTTATCGTCAATGTTCCTGTCACGAGTAAATACCGAATTTGTACTTTTGCGCTGGTGTAACTAGGAGGAATACCTCAGTTTGGAAATTTTGCAGATTGACAAATTGTTAAGCTCAGTTTCTCAAGTTCCCAAATTGTTTATCAAATTTCTAGATTTGCAAAATTTCAAATTTGTCTCCTAATTGCCTATGAGTGATTAATTCACAAATTGTTAAACACCCAAGTTTCTCAAATTCTCAGCTTGTTTATCAAACTAAATTTGCAAAATTTCAAATTTGTTCCCTAATTGCTTATAAGTGAAACTAGTGAGCTCCAGAAACTAGTTACGCCAATGCTCGTATGTGATGTGATGTCTTGCCTAAAGTTTTGTAACTATAAAGTATAAAATGTACTATAAAAGACGTAGATTCTACGCGAAGAATAATGTATAAAACCTTAACGAATGTAGAGCGTTGTAAAAATGAACGAGCTTGTAATTACCGATATTAGTATCGGTTAGCTACGTGAAACGGTGCTTAAAGAAATTGCGTTCGGATGATGTATTTTCTGTATAATTTAGCTTACCGTCTGTATCTTTCATAGATGAAAACGCTGTATCAATTGTTTTATTTGTACACGCTGAAAATCGTCGACATTTGTCTTGGAACGAAAACATTGTATCATTTCCGAGTTTTTCATTTTCTAATCGTAATAACATGCTTAGTCTGAAGACAATCGATGATATTCAGAAATGTTTCGAAATGCTTCAATGTAAATTAGATACCTTAGATTGTATATATCACTGCAGATTGTAAAAAATGAAATTATTTTATTATTGTGTATATAAATGTAATTGTGCGCGGATAAATTCATTCTAAGCACAATGAAGTCAAATGCTTACGAGATTCATGTTTGCAAGCATTTTTTGTATGTAAGAAATTGTACAGTGAATAAACACAAATTTCATACCTTTGACACAAAACTGTTTTTACTTCAATACTTACAAAAATTTACTTAAAGTATATATCATAATGATTTTTTACATTTTATATTCTTATAACACTACAATGAACGACTTCATCTGTAAAACAAAAATAAAAAGGATTGCAAAATTAAAGTAGTACTTTTAGTGTCATCTGAGGGCGAACAGATAAATTAACAATAAAGAATAATTATCATCACAAAGCAACCTGCAAGATGCATTATACTTTTAAATAACAGTTGATATTAATAGTCGATAAAGAAGTTAACAGCAGCGAAATTTCGGAAAATCGTACTGCTCCAACATGGATCAAATTTTGTAAATAATCTCCTTTTTGCAAAAAAGATATCTTTTTTAAAAGATATCTTATTTTTGCAAAAAAAGAAACTTTTTTACCATTCTTATGTCGTTCCCTATATCATCGACATTATAGTCAATTAAGCTAATAAAATCTATATTGATTGAGTTGAATCGGAACGATATACGTTGCGCCATCTAGCGCCAGTGTTTGGGAACTAATGAACCTACAGTTTCAAAGCCGTGTAGTTCACCCTGTTCGCCGGAGAGATGGCACCACTTCTTCGAAAAAAATCATGCTCTAAAGCCCCTGAACGACGGTAATCTTTTTGCACAATCGGTAATTCAGTATACAGTACACAAAGTTCTGTAAGATAATAGTTCTTTCATTCTTTCCCTTACATTAGATATAATTAACTATCATTATATTGCATTTTCGGATATATTATCATCATGTTTCTAAATCGATAATATGAGGAGGTAGCTATCTGATATAAAACCCCTGGCCTACAAAAGTTTATATTTTATGATATCTCCATCTTCTATCTTATCAGTGGTATTGATTTTTTACATGATCGGTATTTCAGTTTCTGTAATAAACTTTTCTATGATGTTAGATCTATTCTACAGTTGGTTTATGGTATTATCTACGTCTAAATATCAACATATAGTTCATCAACACGTTATTTTTCTATGGTATTATTCGTTCATGGTTCGAATACCACAAGACCATGTGAATAGTAGTTAAGGTTATATATTATAATGTATTATATTGTACAGATCTTCACTATTTCTGAATATATTTAACTACTTGTAAAAAGGATTTGTAAAATTCTTGATAAAAAAAATATAATATCAGTAAAACATCCAGTATGAAGTTCAATTCTCATTCAACAAAATCCTGTTCTGCACGAATTGGTACTTTGTCAGAATTCCAAAGGAATCCTGATCTTACTTTTGAAACTCCTCTTGCTCTGGTATATACGAAGGTAAATATATATATATTAAAGTTTTTGTTAATCAGTGTAATATTTTATTCCAAATTATTTTTATTAGGGAGGTAGTGTTCCGCACTTAACTAAGGATGTCTTCCAAATGATTACTACAGATCCACAGTTGTTATCTGTTTCTCTTACTTCTACGCTTTCTATGTTAGAGTCAATAAAATACTGTAATGTTAATTTTGCAGAGTTTGTTGGCATGAAGGTATAATGTGATCCATGTCGTTGTTATTATTTTATAACATTCTCTTTTTACATAACATTTTAGGTAAATATTTTCATTTTAGGAGTACTTAAATTTTCTTACATTTCATGATCCATGTTATGCTATCCCATCAGGTTATCATCAAACTGATTTTATTCCTTTATGGACAAGAAATGGAAAGTATATGTTAACACCTAATAAATATATGGATATTATAGAAGCATTTAAACCAGACATGTATGTGGCTTTACATGATGGAGATACCAATGTGAATAGTAGTAAAAAGCGGGTATCAAAAGCTGTACAACGTACTGGAACATTTTTTGAACAATGTCTAGCTAGGCATTTAGCTTCTGATGCTTTGAAGTCTTCAGAAATATTGGGAGCGATTGAAGGTGGTTATGATATAGAAGCTAGGACATTGTCCATAAATTTGTTAAAAGACAAGCCTGTAATAGGATATATAATTGATGGACTTCATAATAATGGACCAGATGTAAGAAATATATCAACAGACCAAATTAAACAAGTGGTGGCACATACAGCTGTAAGTTTCAAATTTTTGACTATTATGTGCCAATATTTGTTTACTTACTATAATTATTGTAGAACCTCTTGCCTCCTGAGAAATTAAAAGTATCAACAGGCTGCTGGAATCCTCTTGTTGTGCTTGACCTTGTTGAATTAGGTGTGGATATATTTGATACATCGTATCCTTATATAGCTACTGAAAATAGTGAAGCTTTAACTTTTTTATGTGATCATAATGTTTGCAACAATATAGAATGTGTGATATCATTTACAGAAGACAGGTAATATATAATTACATTTATAACTGTTACATTGTTATGTTAATTTTCTCCTTTGTGATAGGTATAGAGAAGATTTTTCTCCTATATGCTCTCAATGTGAATGTCTTGCATGTAAAAATCATACCAGAGCATATTTACATCATTTATGTCATACTAGGGAAATGCTTTCTATGGTACTCTTGATGATGTAAGTAGGAGCTGATTAATGATTTAAATAATTTTATAACTATACATATACAATTTAGTGTATATTTTCAGACACAATGTACACCAGTACCTTGAATTTTTCAAGCTTATACGGGAAAGTATAAAGAATGACACTCTACAGCAATTCAGAAAGAAAATCAATTTGAAATATAAGCAGGCTAATAATAGTTAATCAAATGGGTCTACAGGTATAGGAAATATATAGTGTACACAAATACCAAATTGTAAAAAAGTATTAATAGTTTAATATTAAATTATTTTTACATACTGGTTTTGTAATGAAACTGTGGCAGTACAAATTTTATACAATTATTCTGGTAAGAAATTAGGATCTAGATAATTATAAGAAGAATTACTAAAACTTTGCGGGAAATAATCTAAATCGTAACTTCTAGTATACTGAGGTGGTTTTATAGGAATCAGTCTATGTAGTATATCATGTAGTGGCTTTTCATCTTCTAGCTGCGCTACTGCACAATCGCCACACAAATCAAATCCGTTTTGACATTCTGAACAATGCCATCTCGTGCCTGTTAATGGTTCTTCTCCGCATATTGAACACTACAAAAATAAAAATTACATTGAATTGGTTCAATGTACTGTGAAAAATATAATTTATATACCTTATATCCGACATGTTTAAATACAGAAGATGAATTTTCCTCCTTTTCAGCTTTCACTTGTCTTAATAATTCGATATGCCTTAATTCAGGATTATCATCGATAGTACTATTTCCGATATCGTCTTCCTAAGAACAGAAAGAAGAATTTATTAGTATCCAACAATTTTACGTATTCGCGTTAAGAACACATACAGATTCTTCTGTAACTGGCTGCTCTTTGCTTTCATCAGGCATGGTAAAAGACATATCCTGATGAGGAAAGAATGTAGACCGTCTAAATAATGAGTAATTATTGCGTTGATGTCTATGTCCCATTCCTCTTTTAACATCTAACTTCACTTTTGGACCACGACCAGGTATAGGTAAACCAGCTCTCAGGAGTTTAATAAAGTACTTCTGCACTCTACTAGAAACTTGTTTCGGAGTCCTGTTACCTATAAAAAGTCACAGTTAATTTATAATTTAAATGAATAAAGATTTACTACTATACCTAAAGCATTAGCTATCTTAGTCCATCTCCTCATTTCCACTTCCTCTGGTGGATACTCGATCAATAGTTCCTCCAATCTCCTTTGTTCTTCTACTGTCCATAATTGATTGAATGTTTCTGGTTTACTTTCGTCAAAAGCACGTCCTCTTACCAGTATCTAAATATTTTAAGTACACATATTAACACGTGCAGAGTATATTAAAGAAGCCTTCCAAAATACCTTTCCATTCTCTTGCTCTGTCTTTGTTGATACATGAGGTAACACATGTCCATGCCTTGTCTGCGGTCTCATACGCATATCAGGAGCAGCCACATTATATTGTGACCAATCAATGTAAGGAATTTCAGCAATCTTTTGTGGGCCTGGTAATTCTGGTAGTTCACCATTCTGTATTTGAGCCACAAAGGATATTGGATCCTTCAATGCTTTGGAACGAATAGACAAAAGTTTGTCCAAATCTTCTATAGCTTGAGCTCGTTGCGCTTCGAGAATTACAATTGTTTTTAAAAGAGTAGTATAATCTTTATTTCCCTTTAATGCTAAGTGGTCGGATTCGAAATAAAATTCACTCGGTTCTTCATCTTGACATCCCTTTTCTTCTTCTTCCATCCTTAATGTTCCACTTTTGACAGGTTATACGCGTGTTCACCACAGTACGTTAACCTCAATTATCTGTCAAAATGAAGTAACGAATATTTACATAATATAGCTATCGAATAAAATTTACATACAATTATAACAATATTAAAAATCTAATAAAAATTCAATTGCAAATATAAATGATTATATTCCATATGGTCGCGCGAATATGTTTATGCCGCTTTGGAGCGCGTGCTCTCACATGCTAAAGTCAAAAACACGTGTCACTGTCATCGATGTTCTTCAAAATTTCGGAATGTTATGTTCAATAACATTCAACAGACACTGCATACTTTGTGTAAACTTTTATTTGTGATTTCAATACTTGTTTTGGTATTCATCGTTTTTTTTAAAAGATATCTTTTATCTTCTGTTTTGTAAGTAAATATAATAAGTAGATGTCAAATGCAGTTCCATCTTTAGGGTAAATGGATATCAATTCCAAATTTTTTTATTTCAAGCTTTCTAAATTTACAAGAATGTATATTGCTAGAGGAGTGTTATGTTTTCCTGTTTATGACGCGCTTAACACGACCCCGCTTTATAGCGTTAAATATTTATTACACGTGGGAACCTACATTTTACCCCAAGTTTCATAAATTTAACTACGATATGCTTCTGAAAAGCATTACGTTAAACTACAAAGTAAAAAATATTCCAAAAATCTTCCTTTCTTTTTAAAAATAGAGGTAGAGGCTGTTATCCACGTATTGCTAATAACGTGCTTCTGTGTATAATAACAATTGGCACGCGCTATGACAATTGTTACATTTCTTCGAACAGCTTCCTTTATCTTTGAACTGTGCAGAACAGCTCTCAATAAATTAGCATAAGACGCAACGCTGTTCTGAAAAATTTGGAGTTTATCATCGCGAGGAAAACATGGGATTAATGGGGACAACAAAAAATGCGATGATACATCGCTTTCCATCGGACTTCCATCGTTGTTAAGAAGATGAAGTGGAATCCTAAGTTATTATCTTATCAAGTGTTTCTCTTTGTGGCGAAACTTCATAATACATTCCAAAATGTAAGCAATTACCGAAAGGTGACGCACGTACTACCGATACAGAGTTCTGTAAATTTTGTGCAAACAGTTCTTTTAACGCTCATTAATCGCCGTTTGTTTATCGACGAAAGAAGGACAGCATCGTGTCCACAGACATTTAACTTGCAGTCTTTATCTCGTTAAACATCGGTTTCGTTCTAAGATTTTCGTAGCCTCCATAAATTCGTCAGAATCAATCGTTTGGCTACCGATCGTCAGAGATATCGGTTTTACGGCGTGGCACTCTTATCAGAAGCATCGTGCGCCTGTAAAAATAAGCAGCTAGCTGACCCGCTAACACTTCAGTCTCGTTCTGGACATCTCACGATAACGTCACACTGTCTTCGATTCGGCTTCTAAGGCACGGAGAAGCCGATTCGTGTCTTCGTTACGCCGATTATACGGGGAAAGCCGATCGAAGGCAGTTGCGAAACCCGCGTGCTGTTCGCGCGATGAATCGCTGAATTCGAAAAAACGTCTGTGTCTCTGAATTGGATTAATTCGATAATCGGTCCTCGTTGAATCGTGTGCAAAATGAAGCTAGACGAGGAAAAAGGAAATGGAAAGATTGCCCTGAAACGGGAGCTGGGCCTTTTTAGTGCAGTGAGCATCATAGTGGCTGTCATGATCGGTATGCAACTCTTTTCAAATAATGTGGTATAGATTATTCGATTATCAAGTTTTCGCTTGCCTCACGTTCAGAGGGTATGAAATATAAAATAATCCGATGCAACTGTATTTGTTGTACAACTGATATCACTCGATATCGCTGTTTACCTCCTTTTGCTGTTATTTTGGGTAAATTCTTCGCCGAATAATTTTATCATTGTTTTGATATTGACGTGAGACCATTGTGCAAAATGTGAATCAAACGTTATGCATTATCAGCATTGTTCTACTTAATTATTTATACGTCAGGAAATTTGAATCCTTATTATCCAAAATGACCAAATTACATTTATATTTATAAAATTGAAACATGTATAATAGATTTGTAGATCACTATAATTCTCAACCCCGAATTTTTATACTACTTGCTTCCTTTGTACCCAGGTAAAGATCCAGGATCCAGTCAGATATTTACACCACAATATCCCTGAGCCCGTATATTCCTGTACTTTAAATCCCCAGTATTATTAATATCTTATGAATCTTCTTGCGCGAACATCTTTCAACTAAGCTTACAATAATTGCTACCGGTATCGACATGTGAGGGAGAGGCGGAGTTAAGACATATGTTACTCGCCAGTAACAGTATCATCGCGTGTATGCTGATAATAAGAAGCCAATATCGGCATTGTCACAATTTCATCTCAAAGACGATAACAGAAGCTGCTGTTCAAATTTAATTATCCACACACTTCGTGTCCACTTCTGAAAATGTTTTTCTTTTCATGTGTAAATAATAGATAGGATCGATAGTATGTGACGAAATTCCTCGTGTACATATACTTACCATCTTTTGCAAGTTACATGCTGGATATAGATAACGTTTCGTTGTAAATCGTATGAGCTTATCCTCCGTCTAAAGGTATTAATGCAATAATTAACAACAGGAAAAGTTGCTACAATGTTCTTAGAATCACATGAGATTGATTATCCCCTCAAGCACCTTGTTTGAGGTCGGTTAGCAGCAATTGCCTCGGGTGTGTGCACGATAACGACAACGTAGCGAGGCTTCTTTAACGATTCAAAGCGTTGTCCCGCCACTTTCTCACAGTGGTCTTTTGATCACGAAGAGTTCCTTTTTAGCGATTTAAGTACTTGCAAGGTCATAATAAGTAATACGACATTGCGCGTTAGACCTCATTTATGATCCAATTTATTTTGATTTTCGACTTAATGCTATAAATACAACGGAAATGTTATAAAATAACACGGACGTCTTAATGTAAGATTCAGACAAAAGACAATTTATGCAAGTGACCTGTTTTTGTTGGTCTCGTTGTCCACGAAGGGTTGGTAATATTTATATAATTAATAGATTATTCACAAGTCTGTTAACGGGACTTTCGTAATTAACGAAGTGGTAACCCAGTATTTATCATAATTTAGTTTATACTTTCTATTTTTAAATCTGGTCAACTCAATTAAGATTATCAGAAGTTAGAAAAGTATATGTATAGAGTTCGCTCGAAAATGGCTGCAAGCATTTAATTATTTCTGAATGAATGAAAAAGAAACAACTTGATGTAACATTTTGGTAATTATGCGTCGAGCTTTGACACGATTACGAATCAAGAGGGTTAATCAAGGTTAATCACTGACCCACGCGTCCAAGTATTACGAGACATCTTCCTCAAGTATATCTGGTCGATTTGAAACTTTATAGATTGACAAATCTATCGGGGCTTAACTTTATCTGTAAATACGAGGTGACATTTTATCTTCCTGATTTTATCGAGTAAATTAAATCGTACCTTTAAGAATCTTCAAATAATATTTATTCAAATTTCCTGGCCCATTTTATTCTGATAGCATAATCATCATGTTTTGTATCATTTCGCATTATAATACAATAAGATCATAAGAAAGAGATAAGAAAAATATCTTAGAAAGTAAAGCAGCTAAACTTGTAACGATAAGAAACTCAATGTATTTACTTCTTCATCGAAGGAAAAAAATAGATTAACTTTAGACAGTACCGTCGTTAGCGTTGGGCAAATGGGGTACTTTTCCCTGGGCCTCGCTCTGTCGAATTTTGTAAAATTTTACATGATGTTAATTCATACAAATGATAATACAGCTCGTAGTAAAATAATAGGAGGCGAGAGGCTAATCAAATAATTTTTATTTCAAGGTTCCGGAATCTTCGTATCACCCACCAGTGCTCTAGAAAGGTCAGGATCCGTTGGTTTCTGCTTAATCGTGTGGATCACATGTGGTATATTATCCCTTCTGGGTGCCTTGTCCTTCGCCGAGCTAAGTACCGTAGTGCCACGATCTGGAGCCGAATATGCTTACTTCATCGAAGCGTTCGCACCTCTGCACGAATATGCTGGGCAGATACCAGCTTTCATATGTTCCTGGGTTTACGTAGTATTACTAAGACCAGCAGAAGTGGCTGTAATTATGTTAACATTCGCCGAATACAGTGTGCAACCGTTCTCCTACTACCTTGAGGATGTCCCCGAAGAAGCATTGTTTCGATTGAAGAAAATGATAGCCGTCTTAGCCCTCGGCTTAATCACGTACATTAATTTGACCAGCGTGAAACTGTACGTGAAGGTGCAGAACATATTCATGATATGCAAAATAATTGCCTGTGTGATCGTAATTGCGGGAGGAGTTTGGTGGTTGTACACCGGTCACACTGAACTGTTGAAGAACCCGTTCGAAGGTACTACCACTTCCGCCGGAAATGTGGCGTTGGCTTTTTACAGCGGATTGTGGGCTTACGACGGATGGACCTCGGCTGCGATCGTCACCGAAGAAGTCCAGAGACCGGAAGTCAATATTCTTCGAAGTATTTTGATCGCCGTGCCACTGATCGTTTTTCTGTACGTGTCTATGAATTTGATGTACATGGCTGCTCTGACGATACCGGAAATGATCGGCGCTCGAGCCGTCGCGGTTCTCTGGGCAGAGAAAGTTCTGCCCTCGTGGTTGAGCTTCGTGATACCTCTCGGAGTTGTTCTGTCCACCTTTGGATGCGGTCTTAGCATTCAATTCAGCGTGTCCAGACTGTGCTTCGTCGCCGGAAGAGAAGGTCATGTACCGCGAGTGTTCAGTTTCATACACTTTCAAAAAATGACTCCAGCAGTGGCAGTGGCGAGTCAAGGTCTGCTCGCCTTGGTTTGCTTGCTTCTGGGGAATATCATCGCGTTGATCGAATTCGCGAGTTTTCTGACATGGGTATTTTATGGTCTCGCAATGTTATCGTTGATAATTATGCGACGAACCAAACCGCATGCCCCCAGACCATATAAGGTACCGATTGTAATACCTTGGTTGGTACTGGTTCTTGCTATCTTCTTAGCTGTGGTTCCGATTGTGCATGAACCATCGCTTAAATACATGTTTGCAGTAGTATTTATTCTTCTTGGTATTGGCATTTATCACATGTACGTGTACAAGAGAGCCAGAAGCACTTTTGCAGGTAAACGATGAGTTACGAAATGAGTGCTTTATTTAGTATTGTTGACAAGATATAAATGTTGCTCTTATTTGTTTTCAGCGAGACTCACGTACCTGATACAGGCATTGTGCTTGGTTGTTGCCACGGATAAAGAAGACTGATGTGACATAATCAATTACCTCATATTTGCTGTACGAAGTAAAGTTTAGTTTTTTTTGTTAGAACGGACGAATTATTGTAGGTTGTACGTCACATAGAATGAAGTAACATTTTTATTGATTTCGTGTTTTTTTAATGAAGAGTTTCAATATTTCTACAAAACAATGAATTAAAAAGTATAACAATGCTTTTACATTTGTGCAGTATTGTAAAGGTTCTATAAAACAACCGCAGAGATATAATAAATATTGATTATAGTACACAATTTAAAATATGGTAAATGTAACGTATAATTTAAGAAAATATCGAATATTTATTATATCTGTACATGTGTGTATTTTAAACATCATAATATTGTAATATCATATCTTATCTCGGCAACGTCAATATTTCAATATTATGATGATATTAAATATCATTAATGTCAATTGTAATTCTAAAGACATGATCATTGCTAACATGATGTAAAATGTTAAAAAATATATAGAATTTTATAAAACACCAAAGATCAACATACTTTGGCATATATTCATAGTCAACTTGTAATGACATATTTTTCTTTTTCATCTTCACGTTTTGACTCATTACATATACTAAATACATATATGTATCTGTCTATTATAACTGTAAGGCACCTTGTAAGGCATTTATGAAGTTATGGTTATTGCTAGGAAAGCTCAATGTACTTATTATCTTAAGAAATCTTATACATATCACTTTACATAATAATCAACTTGTCTTGTATATAACTATGTATAATCAAAAATGCATAACTGAACATATAAAGTAGATTATTTTTGTTTTAACAGGTATTAATTTTTAACAGATAATTTTAGTATAACAATTATTGAAGTTGTAAAAATATAAACGAATCTTATACAGTAAAATTAATTCTTAAAGTATAAAAACCAAATTTGTCTATTTACTCCAGTCTGTATATAATATTTTACTAATGTCAACTTGTTAGTTCAACATTAATTAACAATTGTTATTAAGTTGCACCACATTTTGGACAGGTTTGTCTTTCACTAAAATATTGATGTAATATTTCAGATACTGAATACAAATAATAATATACATTTAATTATATTAATTACCTTAATAGTTGATGTAGTTTTTTCCTAAGCTCATTGCACAAAGACCTTTCAGATGCAAGTGCAGCATCTCTTTCTCTCAATTGCTGTCTTAAATGATATATAGTATCTTCTAATGCTTCAAATATTGCCTGGAAAATAAAAGATAGATAATTGATAGCAGAAATTACAAAGATTAAAAAGAAAATACATACTCTAGATTCTTCTGCAGTGTCGGATAAAGCAGGTGGCTCGTCCAAGCAAAAAAATTCTCTGACACATGCAGTGCCAATGAGGAGAGGACTGCTCAATATTGCATTAACGAACGCTTGAAGACCACGTATTCTTTCTTCTAAAAAGCTTGGAGCAAAATTATCTCCAAGCCATTTCTTTCTGGGTAAACTTAATTGTGAAATGGGAATTTTTTGTCTTCTCAACTGTGATAATAAACGAACAAAGTCTGTATACCTTCTGAATACAAACCAACAGTCCCCATTCTTTAATTCTACCCGTAGTTTATAAACCTGGAAAAAAAATGTATGAAACAATACAAAAGAAACTGTTACACAAAAATATATAACTTTGTAATTCAACCAACCGTAAATCTAGCTCTCTCTTCCATAATTTCATATCCAACTATTGGTATTCTTAAGTCATCAGTAGTCAGTGGTGGATGTAAAATATCTGGATTTGCATTATCATTGTCAAGATAATTAAATCTTTGTACGGTAAAGGAATTTGAATGGCCAGATCCATCAGAGTCCGGACTATCAAGTACTCTCACAGTGCCTGATTGGGAACCCCTTGCTTTACTAATTGCAAGTGTAACTTCGCTAATACATCCCACACCAGACTCTGACGTGGACATTTTGCCACCAACAAACTAAATGAAATCATGCATACTTAAAAAGAAAATTAAAAGAAAATTATTATAAAAGTACAGAAGAAAATGGTATTTGCTGTACACAAAGAGGAAAATATTTATTCAATATCATATAATAATACATTAAAACGGTTTAAAAGATCATGCTCTTATGTCATAAAAAGAGAAATCACAAAATATTTCATTACAAAGGTATAAATCATTTCACATGTATGAAGATAAAAAAATATAAGGAAAGTAATGTAATTAAAACCATTTATTAAATAAAAAAATTTAACTTAAATATTAAATATTAGTCCTCAACTGATAGAAAACACCAACCTCAATGTGAATAAATACACACAGTGTACCGTTTTATAACAATTTACTACTTAATCTACTTTACAACATAAAACCATAATTCATAAATGTCTTCTCTGATTAAAACATCGCGTAAAATATAAATATAATGTCACTTAATTAACGGGAAAACACAAAATTGACATGACATATTGAGAGTTTGCAAATATACTCTATCCGCGAAACTAACGTAGCTTAGATGGTGAACTGAAATGGTAAGGTAGGTAAGTAACGAACTATATAATTTATTATTAATTAACTATCACTTCAATTCTTATAGATAAATATTCCTTATTAACAAATGACTTTAAATTAGATTTTAAAAATTTGACATTTTAATTGAAATTAGTGAAATTTTGTATAAGTTCATGAACCTTACACTGATGACGGATGAATACATCCGAGTGATTGAGTGCGGTTCTATAAGTTTCATAAACGTAGCTATGCGTGTACAACACTTGCTACGTGACACTTTTGAGATAAATAGGTTATATACCTCGATGATTTTGACGGCAAAAAAATAACTTATCTAAAATGAGTGAAAAAAATACTAACACTGCATTAGTTCGAAGGGTCAACAAATTACTCGAATCAAGAGTAGAGCATGACAAAGTATATATATTACGTTTGAATTGATTTTAACTATATTTGTTGTGGAACTTATATATAACAAAATACTAACGAAATTGTTATTTGCAATGCCTCTTTTTTTTAGGACACATTGGAGGCTTTAAAAGAATTGTCTACGTTCTTTACGGAAAATACTTTAAATTCCCGCAGAAATTTACGTAGTAAAATAGAGAGAAGAAGTCTTGCAATAAATGAAGAATTCTTGTCCGCCTTCCGTGAAGTAAAATCTTCGTTGGATGATATATATCAAGACGTTTTAGCAATGAATACTGCAGTTCAGTGCATGACAAATCGTTTACAAGTTACAAAAGCACAAACATCACAACTCATTGATCAAACAACAAAACTTCAAAATAAAAGGTAATCAACCAATGATTTTTGTATCAAGAAACAAGCTTATAATATCTTATTACCATTTTTAGTCAAACATTGTCTATGCAACAAGAAGTTGCAAGTGCATTTATAAAAAATTTCCAATTGACTTCATCAGAGCTAAATATTTTGCATGGACCTAGTAGAGAATCACCGATCACAGAAGAATTTTTCTCTGTGGTCAATCGTGTTCAGGTATGATAATGAGAAAGAATCATTTTCCTATATTTATCAACAAGATATGTAATAGATATTTTAAATTACAGGAAATTCATAGCAATTGTAGGGTATTAATGCAATCAGGGTACCAAACATTAGCTTTAGATATTATGCAAAGAATGACATTGCTACAAGAAGCAGCCCTTGAAAGGTTATATAGATGGACACAAAATCAATGTAAATATATTGAAAATGAACATTTGGCTGTATTGTTAATTAAAGCAATGAACAAATTACAAGATAGGCCAGTTTTATTTAAGTATGTACTCAGGTTCTAAAGGGCATAGTCTCACAATTTGGGTCACAACATAATTAGTTTGTCTCTTTTAGGTATATTTTAGATGAATATTGTGCAGCTAGAAGAACTGCTTTAGTAGGGTCTTTTATTGATGCATTAACATTAGGAGAAGGGTATAGTACAACACCTAATCCTATTGAAATGCATGCAAATGATCCTAAAAGATATATAGGTGATATGCTTGCCTGGCTTCATCAAGCTATTCCTGTTGAAAAGGAGAATATTCTAACTTTAGTAAAAGGCTGTGACAAAACAGGTAAAAAACGAATGATTATTTTTCCCATTTACCTTTTTTTTTAATTTTTATTATGCATTTTAGATTTATCAGATCAAATTAAACAGTGTTTAAGTAATATCACAGAAGGACTTTGTCATCCTTTGAAGTCAAGGATAGAACATGTCATATCTATGGATGCACCAGCAACAGTATTATACTCTATTACAACTCTGCTTAGATTTTATCGTGCTATAATTCAACAAGTAATACCAGACAGTACCTTAACTTCAACACTGGCAGATTTATTAGTACTAAGCGAAAAAAGTTTTCTCAGTAGACTTCAAAAGGAAACACGCGCAGCGCTCGGTGAACGCGCAGAGCCGCCAGGAAACGATTTGGTACCAGCCCCATCCGTTTCCAGATTATTAGCCCTTCTTAATGAAATTCTTTCTGTAGCAAGTATTGCTGAAGACAGAGAAAAAGACATGCAACAAGTTTGTATCGTAAAAGCAAGCGGTTATTTAATCACATTATTATTCAAAATAAATTATGCATTGAATCACTTACAGATAGTATCATGTATTATTGATCCTCTTTTGCAAGAAGTTAATGAAACTGCATCAAGGTTACCAACAGTAGACATGGCTGTATATCTTTTAAATTGCATGCATCAGATACAGTCTACTCTAGCATTATATGAATACATGGATCAGCGGTTAGAAAGGCTGCAGGTACTTTATTTTTTTTTAGTGAATTACATATCTTATGAATTGCTGAAATACTACATGTATATTTTTTAGGCTCAATCTGATGCACAAATCGATACTCTTACATCAGAACAAGCTAGTTCATTAGTTGCTCATTTAAATCTGGGTTCAATTTACACGATCTTACAAGGACATGAACAAGGTCCATTATCTTCTATTCCAGGAATGGATCCTTTAAGTGTAAAAGAATTTACAGTAAGTAGTTATTATTATACAGTAAAAAGAATTATGTATATATTTTGTTAATCTTTATTAATGTTTAACAGAACAAATTGGAGGCTTTTCTACTAATGCCAGATGCGTTGTTACTCCCACAAATAAGTTTGTTGCAAAGTAATAATTTTCGTTCAATAACGCAAAAACGTTCTTTTGAGGTAATTGGTGCTATTTATAAACAGTTATACGAAGCATGTCATGATCCAAAAAATTTATATCAAAACCCAAACGGTTTGTTTACAAGAAGTCCTGAAAATCTCTTAGAAACATTAATTTCTATTTAATTGTGAAAAGAAAAGAAATTAAAAATGTGATCAAACATTAAAATAATTGTAAATAATACATAATTGTAAAATAATTTTTAATAAATTTAATAATTTATACAAAATTACGTCCTATCTTTCTACGTATTTTCCATTCATTCTAAGATTGCAAATTTCATATCATTCACTTATTTCTCAGTTCTATCGGAATTAGCCAATGAATAAAACACGTTTTACCAAGGTGTCGTAAAAGTGACATGGTGAGCGCACCTTTAGAAATAGCAGTGGAAGTACAACACAGGGCATGGTGGGTACGATTGGTATCAAAGAACCCCGACCTAGTAGTAATTTCAGCTCAAAAAAAAGTTAGGTTAGATTAGGTATTCCTAGGGAAAGCAGTCAATATTCGAGTATCTGTAGATTTCGAGTTGGAATATTCAAATACTTGTGCGCTTCGGATTTAAAATCTTAGTTCTGGAGTTCTCGAATGAAGAATTTGCGACAATTAATCATGGTACATGAAAAATTTCGAGTACTATAACAAGTGGTGGGATTTCTGTCCCCTACATCTACATTTTCCCTAGAGAAGTCCCCCATGCTCGACACTGTACAGTGCGCGCGCCTTCAGGCCACGATTGGCCCGGTACTTCCCGTCAGTCTTCAGTCTGATGCGGTGGAACGTGCTCGTGCCAGGGTTTTGTTCGCGAGCCGCGCGTCTTTCATTCATACTCGTTTGTGGTAGTAACTTCGGTGTCGCTTCCTATCCAAGGCGAGTTACTCGGAAAGATTTGGTGGACTATACAGAACGGTGCGTGTTAACGTATGAAATATGCAGACACTTCCGAGCAGCTCGATGGTGTAACGTATATAACTCGCGTAAACACAATGGACATCGCCGTTTCATGCACAAAGGACGGATAGAAAGCAGTGAGTGAGTGAGTGGAGTATAGTGTCCAAGATGGCGGAATCAAGCTATTATCAGGTGAGTCGCAGGTCCATCCACGCTCTCTTTACGAACTGGTGCGCGTTGGTCGCCGCCCGACCGATGATTCCCAGCCGCCATAATAAAATATCGCTTTGGGCGTAATTCGATCACTTTATAATTCTGCTCCTTTGTCTCTTTCCCAACGATATCTCGCCTTCAATGCGACACTACTTGCCTCAAACTTTTGAGCAACGGTTTTATCGAAGACAATGATGATCGCTGATTTCTTCGTGAATCGTGACTATCAACGTTCGAACCCGGTCTACGTTAAACGAGGCGTGACGAACCGTGCACACCTGATATCTGTTCAATTCGTTTCATATACTTCCAAGAACTTTCCATGCAGTTCCTGGTAGCACCTGTTTCTGTCGACAAGTGGTATTTCCTGACATTACGAGTCCACAGAGGTGCTCGGTTTGTCAAAGCGTAGCTGAGTAACGGCTGAGAATCATTCTGACAGCAGCGTGATTGTATTGTAACTCCATTGCAGCCGGAGACACCGCTGCCTTAGCGGATCGTTGCGATCAGATCTTTATATCGACAATTACCGGTTTTAAACTTCCGAGTATTCCATGTATATCTTTTTTGATTTTGCACAATTTCTTAATTACACATACCGGTTGATTATTTATTAGACATCAAGTAAAGCTCTGTTCGAATTTTTGACGTGTTTATGATTAGACGATAACGATTTGATAGCATTAGTCAACAAGATACTCTTCGGAAATTGGTCACTTTTCGCGAAACATTCGATTGTCGTATTTCCTAAAGTATCATGTGGTTGCATTGTTTCAAAGATTCGAAGTTTAGAAATCCCAGAATTTCTGAAAATTCGAGAGACACCTCCGAGACAGATTATTCCGATTACGATCGAATTGTCCATTTGTACTAGATAATTCAAAGTACTTTCGCAATTTGCTAACAGATGCTTTGCGTTGTGCGTAACCCAAAAATAAAATGGTACACGCTGGTCAGCCTTGCCCAGCGCTGTACTAATACCGAGTTCTATTTTCTGATAGCGATTAATCATAACCGTGTGTATGTCTACGATTAGAATTCTTGAAAGGCATCATTTTTTCTTCGTTAACGATATTGTGGGTGCCTACTCCTTCGCGTCTCGAACATATTGAACATCGTGTGCATTACGTACGTTAGAGAGACGTTACGAAATCCAATAATTTCTTTTCTTTTTATAGCAGTAACATCCGGCAGCGACACGTTTTATTGATACGTCCATAAACAACTTCGATTTCAACGATTTTTACTTTTCTTTATGTTATAATGATTCTCGGTAGGACTGTTGACCTCTTCGGATTATTATGCATGGCACACATATTACGGAATGCATGAAAATAGCTCATGCGTCAGTGTGTCAAACGCACACCACTCGACACATGTATATGTTTGCTTGGGGTTCGTTGCTTCTTTAAATCGTTCCACCCACTACGGCCCGATTTTGCTCGCGAACATTTTACGGCCTGTTACGAGAACAGGCTATCATCGCCGTTTAATTTTTCTCATTGCAAATCGCTTAAATTCCAAAGTCCGACTGTTTCAAAGTCTCCGACTCCCAAGGTCCCAAATTTAAAAACTAACATTCTTTGTTGGTGGAATTTCAAGGTGCGTAACGTCAAAAATTCTCAAATTCTGAAATTCTCACATTCGTTGTTGCGAACGTGACATAACCTTGACGGTTCATGGAATTACATTTTGGGAGACAAATTGTTTCAACCCGTTTGACTTTGCCAATGAGAACAACATTAATTACGTCGACTATCGGAACGGTTGGCAAATACTACAATTACCATATTGATTTTAGAATTCTTTGAATAAAATCAGAAATTGAAAGTTGCGTAAAAACGATGCATTTTTGAGTCACAGATGAATTATGGCGTAACAAGATGCGAGTGGAGATAAACATAAAATTTCACGCACGAAGGAAATTGTCGCAACAGTTATGTTATTTAGAATCGCTGTTATCGCGTTACCTGATAAGAGATAAAGTCATCGGCAAAGTCTTTCCAGTCCGACTTTACGAATCGGTCCGAGCGCACAAAGAAACGTACTGTTGTTCCATCGTGAGTCGTTGATTTATGGAAGTTCAAGTAGAGATGCGGTGAAACGGTGAATTCTTCAAACAGTATTCATAAACATCATCTGCGGAGATAAAAAAGAAATGAAAAAGACGTTCGTAAAATTGGTCTTTTCTGCAACAGGTGGTCGAAGAGCGGTGACTAACAAGAGGACCGCGTACCTTTACTTATCGGTGTGGATAAAACTTTGCGCGCTTCGAGCAAAAACTTCTGATAGAGTTTATTCCAGCAATTTTCTGCCGCTCATTATATCAAGTTTTAGTTGAATTATCTTGTACTTCAGGAGTTAAGGAGATATAGAGAGCGATTTTCACACTCTTAATTCTTCATTTTCTCGTTGCAATAATATGCACATTTTTGGTAATATTGTAATGAGGAAATAATAGACAAATTAATTCTGTATTATAAATTACAAGAAAAATTGTGCTGGACAGAGAAAAATTTATTTAAAACAAAATTGTTTCTGTATTATAAATTTCAAGAAAAATTGTGCTGAACAGAGAAAAATTTATTTAAAAGAAATTGTAATGTGGTAGATTTGCAAAGTTATGTGAAATAAGATACAATTAAAAATACTACAATATAACAGGGAATTGTAGAGAGCATAGTGTGTAGCATATTTGCAACGCAGTGCAACGAAAGCTTAAAGAGCAATTAGACACAAATGTGGTGTCCCGTTATTCTTGTCTTGGGTCACTCTACAAACCCACAAAGTTTCATCCACACCTCAGTAAGGGTCGCAGTGTTCTCGCGAGTTTCTCCTCGCGAAATTCCGAAATCGTTGAATTATGTTCGGTTTGATTTATCGATTACACAGCACAAACGTGAACATTCCCATCTTCAGTGATTCAGAAATGTAACGTTCACCAACATTATCTGATGACGAAAGCATAGAATCCGTTGGTCGTGAGTCATTAAAAATAAAAATAAAATTCGGACCAGTTTATTTATAACGGAATAGGAAAGTTGAACAATGTCGTGTATTTCGGTGCGCAAGAAGGGAAGGAAGCCGAGTATGTGTCGGCAATTAGTGACAGCGAGGGCGTGCAAACCCAAATACTTTTGGACTTGCATTGTACCATGCCCGGTATGTTTTTCGCATTGGATTAATTCTGTTTTTATCGCGATGATACTAGTATCAGTTTTCGCTTGTTTACTGTACAGTAGACTCTTGTTATAGTACCGCCTTTATACAGATATGTGTGCACACTGATAAGATTCTTTGTAGAAAACGAATTGTCGTGGAAATTGTAGCCAATGTCTTTGATGTCTTGTCACTGATGAAATATATTTGATATTTTATATTGCCATGTTCGGAGACGTAGTATCATTGTATTACCACGCTTGGTACTCTTGCGCAGTGTATTCCTGCGCATGGTACTCGATGTGCAGTATTGGGACTCTAGAAATAACCATACGTGGTATTGGAACACATGGAATCACTACACGTAGTATTCTCACGCATTGTATTACCACGCTTGGTATTGCTGCGCAGTGTACTTCTGCGCATGGTACTCGACGCGCAGTATTGGAACCCGTGAAATAACCACGCGTGGTATTGGAACACATGGAATCACTATACGCAGCATTCTCACGCATTGTATTACCACGCTTGGTATTGCTGCGCAGTGTACTTCTGCGCATGGTACTCGACGTGCAGTATTGGAACTCTTGAAATGACCATGCGTGGTATTTCTGCGCAGTGTACTTCTGCGCATGGTACTCGACGCGCAGTATTGGAACCCGTGAAATAACCACGCGTGGTATTGGAACACATGGAATCACTATACGCAGCATTCTCACGCATTGTATTACCACGCTTGGTATTGCTGCGCAGTGTACTTCTGCGCATGGTACTCGACGCGCAGTATTGGAACCCGTGAAATAACCACGCGTGGTATTGTCACATAGAGTCACTATACATAGTATTATCACGCATTGTATCACCACGCATGGTACTCTTACGCAGTGTATTTCTGCGCATGGTATTCGACATGCAGTATTGCACTCTGGAAGAAACCATGCGTGGTATTGGAACACATAGAGTCACCAAGACGCGTAGAATCACTATGCATAGCATAGGAACTTATAGAATCATAATTCATAGTATTAGTCCACGCCACAATATATGGTATCGGCTCCTAGAATCGTCATATGCAGTTGAGACTCGTAGAACCACCATGTGTGGTCTCCGGATGTGTAGAATTACAGCATATGGTATTGGATCACATAGAATTAGCACGCGTGATATAGGGGTGCGTAGAATTACCGCACATGATGTACCGTTGTAGAATCACCATGTGTGATATTGGTAAATTACCATACGTGTCATTGAAGCGCGTAGAATCGTATGTAAAATTACCGTGCAAAGAACCGATCCTAAAATAATTGAGTGCAAAATAAAACCTCGTACTTGAAGAAACTTCATTTGATGAACAGGAATCTCTAACTTCAAAGAAACATATGCTAGTGCAAAAATTTGAAGTTGTTATCTCGAAATTAGCTGATGATTCCACAAAATATATGAAACGATTCGATCGATAATTACACACACGGTTTGCAGATAGCACCGAGGTTGCTGTTAAATCGAAGGTTTTTATCGGATCGTTACTACGGAACGAATCGTTTAAATATAGATCGATCGTAAGCAATATTGGCGATCTGTTATTACGAGGCATATAGGATACTGATACCGGTAACGTTAAGTTCAATATTTTTTGTTGGTCGATGAACGCGGTAGACAGCGAAGAATGTGTGTCCATCCGCAACAGATAATTTTCAACCGTGTATCCAGCAGTGTTTTTTCCCTCAAATTTACACACCATTTTTCTCTTCAAACTTACACACCATTTTTCTCCGCAAATTTACACACCATTTTTCTCCTCAAATTTACAGACCATTTTTCTCCTCGCATTTACCGGACCATTTTTCTTGGATATTCTCGGAAAAATGCAAATGTCACTGCCAGGATTAACTGGCGTGGAAATAGATCTAGTACGTAGGACGTAGAAAGTAAAGCGCGAATAGAATCATTAACGAAAACTTTTCAAGCGTCTTTCAAATTATAATGACGCGCAAATTCCACTTCCATATATTTAATTACACACAATGTGTAAAAGGGTTTTTGTCAGAAAAACATAAGAAGCGTACACGATCTCCCACGATTCAAATATTATCGTAGATATACAAAAATTCGATAACACCGTTGTATATCTATTTCTGATAAATTTTTATAAACTTTAGCGATAGCAGGAGGGAGCAGGAGAGGGAGGAGGAAGCATCGAATAATCGAATTTGAAATCTGTTTCAGGGCGATTACATCAGGCACCCGGTTCTTTACGAACTGTCGAGCAAGTATGGAGTGGCTGGCAGTGACCAGGTGCCCTTGCCGGCTCGTCTCGACGAGCTCCGGGAGCACATACGCCGAGAAATACGCAAGGTATGTCGAGTTTCGCTTATCCTTCTCGGATGTACACCTCTTCCCCGAAGCTCTCTTTTTCCACGAGCACCGCATACACGGTAGCACCGGTCGCACGAGCACGGATCCCTTCCCTTCTCTTCCTTTCTTCGCTCGCGACTCCTCCGCGAACGCTCTCCCTTTTCGTCTCATCCCAGGTGAGAAACAGAGAAATCTGATATGTGTCAGGCCACCGTCGATCTCATGGCACTCCCGTTGAAAACCGGCACGGTCCACATGACTAATGGTTCCAGTGCACGATTTATGGTTATATTTCGAGGAAAAAACCTCTTGTGGAACAGTAACGAGAGGTATTGCTCGGTGGAGTAAGAGTTAGGATGGTACTACTTGTATTGCCACCCGGTTTATCGTCACAAGTCTTGATGTCTAGATGTCTTGATGTCTAGTTGGACCACGTGGTATTGACACGAGTGGTAGTTGGATCACATGTTATTGGGATCGTGGTAATTGGGGCGTGTGATAGTTGGGACGCGTGGTAGATGGGACGAGTGGTAGTTGGGACGAGTGGTAGTTGGGACGAGTGGTAGTTGGGTCGAGTGGTAGTTGGGACGAGTGGTAGTTGGGACGAGTGGTAGTTGGGACGAGTGATAGTTGGGACGAGTGGTAGTTGGGACGAGTGGTAGTCGGAACGTGTAGTAGTTGGGACGCGTGGTACTTGGTCATGTAGTAGTTCGAACGCGTGGTACCAGGGATGCGTGGTAGTTCGGACGCGTGGTACCAGGGATGTCTGGTAGTTGGGACGCGTGGTACCAGGGATGCGTGGTAGTTCGGACGCGTGGTACCAGGGATGTCTGGTAATTGGGACGCGTGGTACCAGGGATGTGTAGTAATTGGGACGCGTGGTACCAGGGATGTGTGGTACTTGGGACGCGTGGTACCACAAGCACATGGTAGTTGAAACGCGTGGTAATTCGAACTTGTGGTAGTTGCAACGTATAGTAAGTGGGACGCGTGGTAGCTGTAATGTGTGGCATCAGAAACACATGGCACTAGGGACGCATGGTAATTGAACCCATCGTACTTCGACGCATGGTACTAGGGGTGTGTGGTACCCGCGACACGTATTGGCGCGTAGTAAGGGTGTATAGTAATCGATACACGTGTTATCGAAACATGTAATTGGGGTGCGTCGTATTTGGAACCTGTAGTATTGTACACGAGCGACACTACCACACATGGCACTGCGTATACATCTATACATACATTAGTGAGCAAAAGTTCGAAACCATAATCAAGTACTACTCTCTCACTTGTATCCTATTCTTGATCCAGAGTCAGCGAATACATGAATACTCATTTCCTCGATTAGTAAGAGTTGCACCAGCCAGAGTCATTATGTAAGATCCTGTTTCCGAATGGGTTGAAGCGGAAAGTTCGAGGGTGGTCTGACCTATAAGACCGTAAATCCCATATCCCAACCTTCCCATTTCCCTCCCATTCACCCGGAACTTTTTCGTATCAGCCACATGGTAACCTTTGTCTGTACAGTGATATAATTAGTTTGGGCCGATAATATCCCTCTTAACATCGATAATACCGTAAGCCTCGATTGTTTTACCGTTGTTTACGTAACGCTCCGCGAAGATAGTTTGTGTGTTCACAGTATCAGAGGCAGTAAATCATGCTCGACGAACTAGGTGAGACAGTCTTGCTCTTCTCGCGCTAGGTGAGAAGATATACAGGTCGTTGTTTCATTAAACACCGTTCGTAAATATTATTCACAGGCCGGTGGTGATTAGTCAGCAGCGTTCACCGTGGAAAATGTAGTCTATTGTAACAAATGTAGCAAAAGGTAATGGAACGAGGGGATAGTTTTGATGTACGGGTATAATTTTACGTCTCATTTGCTTCGGATAGGAGTGGTTTCGAGACACGCTTTATCGATCGACAAATCGACGATGATTGTATGTACGCATCCGTACTCCATGAAGCGAAATTCCGTTCTTTGCCCTCGGAGCTTTCGTTCGAGGCGGTGGAAATACTCTGCTACATAAATCACTGAATACTATTACGAACGGGAAAAAACGTAAAATAAATCACGCAATAATAACTGAAAGTTGTCTAGCGCTACAACTACCGGTTCGATGTGCACTTGCATTTAAAAGAGCAGAATTGTTACCGAACAGTAAGTCATTTTAGCCCCCTTTCATAAAATAAAATTGCTCGCTAGTTTCTATCAAACTAGCTAACTAAAAATGACGAGTTTGTTTAGAGGGAAAGTCGATCGTCTCGATCGAAGTATTACGTCTAGACAAGCTGAGAACGAACGTTGACTGTCTCGTTGCAGGAGTTGAAGATAAAGGCCGGCGCTGAGAAGCTGAGGGAAGTGGCGACCGATCGTAAAGCGTTGTCGGACGTGGCATCGATCGTGAAAAAGTCGAATAGTAAGCTGAACGAACTCCAGGCCGAGCTTCAACAGCTCGAGAGTCAAATTATATTGACGCAGGGCCAGCCACAGTCGCCCCAACAAAATCACTCGAACGGTCAAGGTAAGGCAAAGTCGCACACTCGACAAGAAAGAGAAAGATACCATCTTTGTGTTCGCCTTAACGTTGCATGGCATTGACCGAGAGGATAAGCCAGGACTCATGCGCGCCTAAACGGGTTTTATGTAATGCCGCGTGCGTTAGACTTCGTGCCGATCAATTACTGCTTCAGCTTGGCCGTTCGTACGCGGAGAACGCTCCAGCCATCGATATCGCCGAACGAGTTCAAGGATTTTTACGGAAAATCGCGTGAAATCGGGATTCGAAGCGGGATACCTCGCGTGGGGTCGCGGAACCTTGATAAATTTCAACGTAATTGCGGAATTACAGTAGATTTTCGTTATACTGCCACTCATGAGCTCTATACACGTGTCTCACATAATATACGCGTGTAGATACGTCATACACGTATGTGCTAGTTCATGAAGATGGTTCTACGTCAATAAATTTTATGGGAGAATTTTTTCAAAATATTTGTGACATTCATAAATTATGTGGTTACATAATAAAATTCATACAATAAAATTTAGGTCAAATTTATGTTAACAATGATGCAATTAGAAGGCTCAATTTTTTTAGAATTTTAACTGAATTCCACTTTCGTAACATACATGTAATCACAAGATGAGTCCTATACTGTACCTGGTTGTCCCTGCTGAAAATATATATAAATCTTGTAACATGGTTTTTTATTGATCACAGCAAATTTCTTTCAGTAGCCATGACTTGTCTTGCAGCAAGCGAAATATCGAATAATCACTTCCACTAACAGTAGTACAAAAGTTTCCTCTTTCCAGATACGCAGTATCGATTTCGTTCGTATTTTTACGTCTCGTAAATCTGTCTAGCGAATCATGCAACGCCATCGATCTTTTCGACGTATCAATTAATGTTTCCGCTTATTCATTGGCTAACTTATCGATACATCGAAGTAATAGCAAACGTTACGGTACGTTCCCTCCTACCAAGCTAACGAGTGCTCCGCGTGTCGTTAACGAGGAGCCACTTAATAACTCCACCCGCTAACGAGCCGTCGAGACGACGTCTTCGGTTTTATAAAGGCTCATCCGTGCATGCGAGTAGCCGGCTACCCGCTTTGCTTGCTTTCAGTCCGGCGCATCTCGGCTGGCAAATCGAGCATGTCCAACTCCTAGAACCCATAACCGTTGCACGGTAATCTTTACATCGACGATCCAACGATGCATGGTTCGATAAACCGCGATGAAAGTCGTCGTCCACGATTCTGGCACGACGATCGCTCAGCTGCTGTTATTCTTGAATCAAGTATTCGTTTTACGCTCTGTGAGTCATCTCTACACGTGAGAAACTTGATAAGAGGTATTACTCATTTTTGCTTCTCGAAACATGTTACTATTTGACGTCCCTTCGATATCGCGATCATATTTCCAAATTCAGAAATATGCGGAGCTTTTAATCATTATATCTACATAAGTGAATCTTGTCGCAACAAGCAGTTAGGAAAGCGAATTTCTGATGCTAGTTTTCCAAGTACATTTGCTTCCTTTTGCAATACGCGTTGAGCAAGCTTTTACAGGTTTGATCGAGCAGCTGGATACGTGTTTTGCAGTGGACGTTATTCCGGAAACAGTGGTTTGATGGCATTTCCAGTCGGCGCGGCTGGTCATTTCCCCCGTTTAGAGAACACCGTTGTACCAGCGACGCAGTCGTTGAACATAAATTAGAAACGATTAACTCCGATCCTCGTAATCGGGGGTCATGGTACTCTGAATAGTCACCGGCGTAGCGTTAGAATCTCAAACATATCGTGTCTGTCGTGCAATCGCGAGCAATGTACCGTTTTATCTGATACCACGATCCAATGGATCAATTCGGTCCCTACGAGCTTTACGGTTACACGTTGTACAAGTACGCCTACACGTCGCTCGCCTTAGAATTGGCTCCTTGGTTCTCGCTTCAGAATTTAGGAAAAACTTCTTATCGTTTTGAACATCGCAGCAATATTCTTTTGCTAGACCGTTCAGTATGAAACTTGATATAGAAAGTAACATTTTTCGGCTCTGAGGTAGTTGCGACATTAGGGTGCGTGATAATTGGCGTGTGTGGGGTAGTTGCGACATGTAGGACACGTGCTGGTTGGGACGTGTGATAATTGGGGCGCGTGGTAGTTGCGACGCGTGGTAATTGAAACACGTGGTAGCTGGGGCGTGTGGTAATTTAGGAGCGTGGTTGGGACGTGTGGTAATTGCAACGCACGATAGTTACCTATGATACTTAGAACGTGTGGTAGTTGGGACGTGTGGTAATTGGGACGTGTGGTAGCTGGGACGCGTGGTAGTTGGGACGCGTGGTAGTTGGGACGCGTGGTAATTGGGACGCGTGGTAGTTGGGACGCGTGGTAATTGGGACGCGTGGTAGTTGGGACGCGTGGTAATTGGGACGCGTGGTAGTTGGGACGCGTGGTAATTGGGACGCGTGGTAGTTGGGACGCGTGGTAATTGGGACGCGTGGTAGTTGGGACGCGTGGTAATTGGGACGCGTGGTAGTTGGGACGCGTGGTAATTGGGACGCGTGGTAGTTGGGACGCGTGGTAATTGGGACGCGTGGTAGTTGGGACGCGTGGTAATTGGGACGCGTGGTAGTTGGGACGCGTGGTAATTGGGACGCGTGGTAGTTGGGACGCGTGGTAATTGGGACGCGTGGTAGTTGGGACGCGTGGTAATTGGGACGCGTGGTAGTTGGGACGCGTGGTAATTGGGACGCGTGGTAGTTGGGTCGCGTGGTACTTGGGACGCGCGGTACTTGGGACGCGTGGTAGTTGGAACGTATGGTAGTTGGGATGCGTGGTACTTGGGACGCGCGGTAGTTGGAACGCGTGGAAGTTGGGACGCGTAGAAGTTGGGACGCGTGGTAGTTGGGACGCGTGATAGTTAGTACGCGTGGTAGTTGGTACGCGTGGTAATTGGAACGCGTGGTAATTGGGACGCGTGATAGTTGGGACGTGTGGTATTTGAAACATATAGTAGTTGAAGCGCGTGATATTTCGGACATGTAGTAGTTGTAACACATGGTAGTCCAGACGCGTGGTAGTTGAAACGCATGTATTGTCATGCGTGGTAGTACAGACGCGTGGTACTCCACATAAAACTTATAAGTTCTGATATCTGCACGCGTCGTATTACTACGGGTTGTACCTCCACGCGTCGTATTGCTATGGGTTCTATCTCCAGCGTCGTATTCCTACGCGTTGCATCTCCAGTATCGCAACTTGATAGATTATCCGGCGCCAATTGTCCTTCCATAAAAATCCAAACGAGTTTGACGCGTTAATGGAGGAAAACTTCATCTCAGGAATTAGATAACAATAATTACATTTTCTTTATCGAAGATTGTAATGGTACGAAGTGGTACCATGAAAATCAGGTATTCCTCAAGATCGACCTTGAAAGATTAGCTACGCCAATGTATAGCAGTTGGGTGGTGTTTCGTGACGAGCCCGAGGCTCGTACCCGCTCGCGACTAGAAGCGGAGTCTTGTATTCTCTTTGAATTGACGGTAAGTGGTAGCATCTATTTATACCGTGGACCCAGACGAGCTCTATCCACTCCAGTTAAGTCAGTCATCATACATTCTGGGGACTAGCAACCTGCCTCCGAGGTACCTCATTCAGCCTCCTCTTTGATGGTTATGCCATTCAGAACGGCCTTAACAATGCAACGGCTGCGCACACCACCTCTGTAGTTACCCTCTTCGGAGCAACTGGTTCAGTTTCTGAAACTTCTAGTTAGAGATAGCTCTTCGTTAAATGCTCAATTATCCGCCTACTTGATCGTGGTGCGAATATTTTATACGATCGACTTCTGGTGAACATTAATCATAGCGCACGAAACAGTTTTTGTTGCAAGAAGTAAAATGAGATTTATGTCAAGGTAACTCGGACGTTTATTAATCGTGATAATGGGGTTGAAGCTTGTTATTTCTTCTCATAACTACCTAGTAACTACCGAGGGAGATGCTACTTTATGCAAGATTGTTGCAAGAGGAAATACTATTTGAATACCAATTACTTGTTACTCATCTGTTTCTGAAAATAATCTTCAACGTCTCTTAATTATACAGCCTTTCTTTGCGAACATCCGTGCTAGCTGGAGATGCTTAAAACTTCGTTAATAAAAAGTGGATGTAACATGTAGATCCATTATATACATTGTTCATACGATGTTATCAATAAATATTGAACTGACAATTCTGACCGTATGACGTCCAAGGTCATAGATTACCGAATTCATCTCGAAGCAGACTATCAAACGATTTAAAAGAATTTGATCTCCATTTAAGTATCCATTAACCCCTGTTCGGATAAATGATTTCCTAGGGCTATTCCATTATCATGGCGCCTCTAAACACGAGACATCCCATGAACGGGTCTTATAGAGAGCAAAAAGAAAATATGAACCTTGTGACCCGAGAAACCAGAATACCCTTCGAAAGTATCTTTCTCTTTCTACCGTCGCAAAAAGCAGAGCACACGAGTTTAGAATAAGATATCGCGGATGAGACGGTGCCACGGATTCAGGAGAAAGTAAGTACTGTTCCCTCCTTTCCTCCGGCGAGTACACGCCGCGAGGGAACGAATAACGAGCGAGGGTTCTCTCGTTCACTTTCCAGTTCTTCGAGTTCTGGCCTGCGTGCGTGTAACACGCGTTCTCCGCTAGGGACAGTGAAAACGCTCGCACGCTTCATAGGCGCATACACGCGCGCACACACAACGCGATCGAGAGTGTATTACGAGAGGTGATCGGTCGAACGATCGCGCAGAGTACCGTTGCGCGCTCGCGCGAGTATTTCGCCCGCGGGCTTTTGCCCGGCCACTTCACCGTGTATCGAGATCGCGTTTCAGCCGAACCGAACCCACGCTTTCGCATTCCAACATGTCGAGTACCCAGGGAGACCCTCGGGCCCTCCCTTCTCCTTTAGGGACTACCTGCTACCGAGCGGATGTGAAATCTCGCGACAATTCACCC